GAAAAAAGAATCGTTCAGCGAGCTGCCAAACGATGCCATGGAATCGGAAAATACGGAACCGGTTCTGAACAGGAACCGGTTTTCGATTCCCATCCCTACATATGAGTATTCTCTATCTGATCTGGTTTGAGATGCTGCATAGATTCATTTAGCACAGAGACAGAAGTGGGGAAAAAAAAGTCTGCGCAGATTTGCTCACCCTGCCTAGTTGTAGCCTCTCTATAACGCAGTCAGTGTGACATGGAAAAAAATCGGATCATAGATTAAAAAGTCGTACGCAATCGGTGTGTTCTGGCCTTTAATTTTTGACTCTGTTCCCAGCTTTCCATCCCCTTTCTATCCACCCTGTCCTTTTAGTCTTCTGTTAGTGCTTATTCATGTAGCATATGAAGGTAGTCAGTATACAATACAGATTTCTATATCTTTTGTATGAAAACATTTTCTAAGGATAGACCCATATTTTGTAAACTACTGTCTTACATTACAGCCGGTGACAAAAATTGCTTCAGTGTGATGTCTGTTTTACTTCAAAGGAGTAAAAGTTTACTTCCTCGTTATTATTGACCTTTACAATAATATTACTTATTTAACTGCTGATGTTACTTCCTATATTATTAAGTTTTGTTGAGAGTCTGCCTACTGTAAAAAAAAAAAAAGGTATTTTTTTCTTTTATAAATAGCTTCTTATCTCATGGTTTGTGTCTTTCCTTTTTGTTGGCATATGGTTTTAAAAAACTTTTTGAAATCTAAAGCTGTCAGTAAACTCCGTTAGTGAGCAATGGAGAAGGGGTTTTTTATATGTGTTTTTGTTTTGTGTTTTTGTTTTTAAAAATAAACATGTTTTGTTTGACACAAGTGTTTACATTTTTTTCTTATTTTGAAGTCTCATGTTTTTTGTGAGGCAGAAGGCAGGTTTGTATTTCTGCAGTTTAGCCATAAGATGGCAGCAAAGCTGTTAAGTAAAATGTTTTTTTTTTCCATGTCCACATGAAGAGGTGCAGAGAATAGATTCTAAAAATAAAATCCAAATTTTATTGCTTGATTTTTACTTAATTATTAAGCAGAATTAAATTAACAATTCCCCAAGCTAGTCATTAATTCCTTAAGCAGATTGAGCAGAAATAAGATGTATTGCTGGATGTATAAAGTAGCAAATCTGAGTTATTTTCCCTACTATTTTCTATTCATATAAACTGACAAAATGAGTCAAGATTAACAGAGTTAAACACCTGGATAAAAACCAAATCTAGCTAATTTACATACACCCCGCCCCGAGGAGAAGTTCTTAAGAAGAATTTTTAAGTCGGGAAAATAGATACTAAAACCCAGCAAATCAGTTATACGATAGTCATTTTAATGAATCAGATTTTTTTTTTCTTTTTTTACAAAAACTGTAGGGGCGAAAATGGTAATATTAATAATCCAAACATTACAATCAGTATTACTTTGAGTATATTATATGAAATTCTTATCATAAAAAGATACTATCTTCCTACAAGAATAAATATTATAAATTATAATATTTTGATTTTGGCAAAAATATCACTGATACAAAAAAGGACCATGAATAAATCTAAGATATTTAACAAAGAAAGGGGTCTTTCCTGATTTGGAAAATTGTATTGCTCAGCTTAAACCTTTTATTCTGTCCAAATTTCCCAAGCTACTTTGCAGATGTCAGTGTTATAAAAGAAGATCTTATCATTGCTATAAAAAATACAACAAAGGTTAACTGAGGACATCATATTTGATGCATAACTAACCATCTATTAAAACCTGTTAACTGGGTGATCTGTGAAACATTTCAGGGTTGTGCGCTTAAAACTTTGAGACAAAGACACTTTTCTTTTATCTGCAAGGTGCGTCCTTGAGTTCTGAGACCCACAGAATAATCATGTTTAGGTCAGGATGATTTTCACAGATATTTTGAGGTTAGACTTTCAAATCAACCGACTTAAAGCTTCTAACAGATCTTACTATCGCTAAACAATTAGTCCACATATTAACACTATGGCGTCGCAACACATAAAGTAGGAATGGCAAGATGGAATTATTTGAAAGCATATGCCACCTGCAATGGAGTGTAACAGAGTTCATTATTAAGGCCATGGAGATGCATGGTGGAGATGTTAAAGGTATAATGGAGAATGTTCTTTTTCTGGGTGGATCATCAAAATAAGTGGTCCTCCTAATTGTCAATCATTGTGGTGGTATGCTTATGTAAAGCCGTCCTAAGTATTTTCACTTACTAGTGGTGAGTCTGACATAGTGGTACAATTGCAAATCTTCTTTTGGATGTTAAGCTTATACAGTATGAGCGATGCAAACAGCAACTTTTAAACAGAGTGTGCACGGGGAGAAATGGTGCTCCTGATTGCTCTCACACGTTTAATAGACGGTCCCTCTCGGGAGCGGGTACAGGGTTGTGCATTTGCATTTTTTTATTTAAGTGGAGTAAAAGTCTTAAAAAGTAAAGACTTTTTAAGACAACAAGTCTTAAATTAAAAGTCTTTTAAAAAATTCTTGAAAGTCCTCCACTATACCTTTAAGACCAAAGGAGCCAACCACATCCATACTTTTTAGGAATGTCAGGTTATAACTGAAGATATGTAAACAGGACAATGCATCTGAAACTGAAATAAACATTGCTAATATTACCTTGTTTTTTTTTTACTGTATGTTATTCATTCAACATTTAAACAAATAAACTTAAAAAAAAAAAACAAGTTTAAAGGATTTCAAATCCATAAAGAACAGATGGAGGAATGTTCATTTAGTGTCATGGACAAAAAGAAAGAAAAGCTAAGAATTTCAAATTCATTAAAAGACTTTGCACACATTTCCATAAGGAGGCGTCAGGACGCCAAGTGGAGGGTAGTGAGATGGTTTTCACAATCGTTGTGATGTGATCCCTGAGGTACATGGAGGGCAAAATGTATCAGGAATACTAAAAATGTGAACGTCATATTGAATGAATAAATGTCCTGTTTAATAATTAAGAATCTGTTTATATGAAGAAGTAAAAATTTAAATGTCATCAGAAAAATAGATTTATATACAATGAATGTAATTATTTTGAAAATCATATTTTAGTATAATTCATTATTATTAAGTGAATTATTATATATTCACTTAATATGTATAAAATAATATAGAGTTCAATAATTATATGTTTTTAAGTAGATCATCAGTACTGAGGACAATCTCTTTTAAACAGCGTTCTCTGATCTTAAGAGAACATTGTTAAATATAGAGTTTTTAAGGAAACATAAAAAGGAATAATATCAGGCCCCAAAAGATCCACAAAGCCAAACTGATCATAAGGCTGTCCCCTTGAGGTCCCTCTGTCTCAATCATTTTTAAATTACCGACTGATGTATACTTAGAACGCACTAAAGAATATTTAGCAAAATAAATTTAAGATCGCTTTCATATAGTCTGGGAATAAAACCAATGGAACCTGAGATATGTAAACTCTTCTTAAGGACCAAGACATTTGCACTTTTAAAGTCACCATAAAACAGTTAACTGTACATTGCATCATTTTCTATGGTAAATACAAAATTGTCCATAACATTTCAGTTGAATTGAGTTTTTAAGTGTAGTAGGCCAAACTGTGAGAGAAAAGAGATTACATTGCAAATTAAGCAGAAATCTGATCTGTGATTTTACAGTTTCCCAGTAAAACACATGACACATGCAGGCAGGCAGTGAAAAAAAGAGTCATGCTTACCAATGAAGATAACCCCAGGAGTACCCTCTGGAAAAAATCTAAATAAGTCATTTTTTCTTAATACAAGTGCATTTGCTCTTGAATTGAGCAGGTAAGTGAGGCACTTTGCTAATGGACAATACAATTTACATTTCAAATAGCAAAAAAAAACAATTGCATTGTCTTATTTCAAGTGCATATTATCTATTTATCTTATTTTAAGAGTAAAAATGTTCATTCCAGTAGCAAATCATCTTATTTACCTGCTTAAATTAAGAGTAAATTCAATTAATTTAAGAAATGTTGACTTATTTCTAGATTGTTTTTGTGGTGATGGATGATGGTTTGTGTTGAATCTAAGCATCCATTTGTGAAAAAACTTGTCTCAGATGTGTTCCCAAACATCTAAACTAAAGCCTTATACACCAACACACCTGCTTCTTGTGGGAGTGGTGGACTAGTGGTTAGAGCAATGTGCTTGTGCTCTGAGAAGGTTGCAAGTACCCAGTTTGATCCCCATAGACGGCACTTTGGGTCCCAGAGCAAGACCCTTAACCCCATACGGCGAAGAACCATTAGGTTGGACAGCCAGATAAATAGTATGCACAAATAAACATATGGCTACTTCTCAATAGAAATTGGAAAAACAGGCAAAACAAAGTAAAAATTATACTCAAGCCTTCGATGTCTCTGTATATAGAAAGACATAGACTATGTAGCTTGACTGCTGTGGCTGGAGGCCTGGTGCATGTGTCAACATCTAGAACTTTCTACAGCACTGTATTTATACGGTAACATTTTAAAGCCTTGACCATGAAATCATGTTGAGAAAATTCACATTTCTTTCGCATTAGAGTTGTCATTGATCCTTCTGACAAATGAAATAAAGCTTAAATCTTGTATAAAGTAAATTAGATGTTTTATATACATCATTTGTGGTACACTATAGGCATTTCTATATAATCTTTTACCGATTTTCTGTTTATTACATGTGTATAATTGTGTAAGTCAGAGTTTTCAAGAACAAAAATATCATTCTGATTATGCAGAGGTCTCACAAGTAAGATGCACTTGGTTTTAAAAGCCTTTATATATAAAATAAATATATATCTGAATAGAAATGTCAGTGATTTTATTACTTGGTTGCCATATGGCTGAAAAGATACTGGGGTTTAATGGCAGTTTTATAGCT